TGGTTTAAGAGCTTCACTGCAAATGTACCAAAAATAAAAATAGACGCGTTTACATATTTAGTGCATCGCATATGTTGTTTTGTACTAACCGCAAATGATGTAATACTATTTCATAGTTTACCTTGAAACTATTGAAACCACAGAATATCTTAGTATTATTTTAGTTCTTTGTGGGAAACGATACACTATATCATACCAAATACAATTCATATTAGGGACGATAAACTTGTCATAGCGTAATTTGGAACACAATTTCGCCGAAGCCCTTTCTTAAGACTTAAATCTTCGCGTTGACTCTTAATTAATTATTAATAAACAAGGTTTCAGTTCAGAAATTTTAAAAGGAAACGTCAAATTTGTGAAAAATCCATTGAAGTAGGAAACCTATGGAAATGAAACGTCAACAAAAAATTCGTGCCACTGTGACGTCATCTGGCCACAAAACATGGCGGCTTTAGTGCTGCCCAGAAGATTTTAATGTTAGTAGGTTTTATCGATAAACGTTCTTGGCTTATTTTATTTTAAATATTGTTGAGTATGAATGTATTTGTAGAAATTATACTTTAATAGGAATTAAGTATATTGTTATGTGCAAAGATGATGTGATTTAGATATTATGTGAAATCTAAGACGAGTTCGTGCTTCAAATTTTCCAAGTAAACGATATGACGATTTTTAAAATTTGCTACACTGATTTTATAAAGTTGTCGTTTGCTGCAAAACATAAAGATATGGCATAGTACAGTGCCATCAGCCCATTTCTAGCATGCTGAATGTTATCGTATTTTGAGTACGTGTTTTTCTTAGACTATTACAATCTATTTTAATTGTTTTGCTGACTCTAAAGTCCGCAACAGACTACCGCAGTGCACCTCAAGGAAGGTGCACCGCACCATTTGAATCACTCTCACTTGAGAGTGATTCAAATTTTAAACTTATCAAGGGACCGCCTGATAACAAAAAACACCTACAGAACATTTATTCGTTAATGAAATTACAAAGTTATTCCTTGTGACTTCCTCTCTAAAATCACTTAATTAATAAATATTTAACGAATTTACAATAGTGTTTTACTCACTGCGGAATAAAACTATTTTATTTAAATAGTTCCGAAGAGATTTTGTCGATAGCCTTTTTCCCGAAATATCTAAACAGAATGTCTAAATATGTTTTGATGACATAATATTTTAAAGAGGTATTTATGATTAGTGTCATGATGAATAGATTCCGACCGAAAAATGGTGTCCGATATTTCGGATTCAAATATATTATTAAGTGTATAATCCATGTTTCGGATGAGGGCTCCATAATGAATTTAAATATATATAGATAATAGTTTTGGGGCATCGACCTTCTTGAGATCCTATAAAATATGTTTTAATTATTATTTATGTACGTTTTAAGCATGATAAAATTAGAAATTTTATATAAGCAATCATATTAAATCGATAATATGAAAGTCAATAAATAATGTACAACCCAAAACAGACGGCCGAACTGACGTGACAATGACATTTGGCGCGCTAAACATGGCGGATTTTCGGCCTCATTAGACGGAGACGGAGACATTTACGTATATTCATGTTTCATTTTATGTACGCACTGAAATACTGTTATATTGTTTTCTTGCGAGTTAAAGTGCTGAGTAAGAACGAGATAGATATATGTTTATGTGTGTGCCTTCAAAATGGGTGCTATTTATATAAGCAATTGTACGTATAGAACAATATGTCGTGTCCCTACTATATAGGTCTATGGAAAAATCTCATACAAAATTAGTGTCAAAATAGTGTGAAAACTTTTCTGGGTTAAATTGAAGGTGCCTGTAATAACAATGTATTTTAAAAATAAACGATGGCACGTTAAACTAAAAGTCATTAGAGACATTATTTTAGACCAAACGTCTTCGTTGAAATATATTTCCGCTTTTTTTGCATCGAGCATTTAGCGTTTTAGCGATGTTAGAGAGAATACGGTGTTATAGAGAAAATTAAATTTAGGCACACTGAAGTTTGTATTATAATGTTACAGTTAAAAGCAAGTCATTTCAATAATGCGTTACCCTCAAACCAAGACTTCAAAGAATCTTCTTACCGTTAAATTTCAATCCGTCAGAAAATCCAAGTTTCAAAACTAATCTTAGTCTCAAATCAACAAATATATGATTACTGAACGGAACAAAATTTGCTAATCTTTCTAAAATTTTTGTTTCTAAACGAAGTTCATTATCCAAATTTAAGGTTCCTACCAAACTTCCTAGCACAGAATGTATTGTGCTTATTTGCTGCGCTGGTACTTTTAGGCCACAGTTGTCGCAATACCAACAGGTTCGCGGGTTTGTTGCAGTGGCTGGTTGCAAAACTCCCAAACAATCCTTGTTCAAGCATTTTAAAGCAGACAGATTAGTCCCCATTTCAGTTTTGTCCTGGCATCTCTTGCATTTGCACCAAAATTTTTTCGTCTTGTAAAGATGGCAGCGCCTGGCGGGAGTGCTCCACAGTAGACCGGTATAACAGGTCAGAATTTCTTCTCCGATATCAATATCTTTTGACGCATAAACTTCCATAGTGTGATCGCTTTTGAAAATACTTCTTGTGTTCGGAACACAACTATGGTTCAGAAATGCAGATATGGGGTAAAATCCTCTTAATGGTATTTTATTGCCCTCAAACATATGAGAAATTCTGAAGGAATTTAGTTTTAAAATGTAACGAACCTGATCCATAAATTTCAAGTGTTCTTGAGATATGATAAATCTTGAACTTATTTCTTCGAATTCAGAATGTTTTTCAATAGGGCTTGTTTGAAACACGTGAAGAAATGAATTAACTTCAGTTTTTAATAATATCAATTTCAAGTAGATAAGAATTTTGGAAAGTGCTATGGAAGTGTCTTCGGAGTCAGGGTGTTGTGCAAAATTTTTCGAGATAAATTCACATAGTGTATTATGCTGTTGCGTTTGTTTGCACTTGTCATTACAAAGGAATAGAGAGCACGTATCACAGGATATGCACGTATCACTTACTTTATAGCAAACCGCACAGAATCTATGTCCTGCCGAATCCGGCCTCGGTCCTACAGCGAGCGGTTTGTTTTTATAAATTAAAGAGCCCTGTTTGATTGCCTTTGATGCAAAAAGTCCTCTCCCTCCTAGATTAGATTGACTAATAAACCAGTTGGACCCTGATGAGGTATCGAAAATATTTAGGAGATTTGTTTCCTGAAGGACCGGCCGTTCCATTGCGCGAATGCCACTGTTACTGAGCTCATTGGGTTGCCGCGGCTGACTGACGCCATCAATCCAGTTTACATCGATGTACATGACCCGTTATGAAAATAGCCACTGGAAATAATAAATCTGGTGTGTTTCGTGGAGAGAACTCGCGTAATACGTTTCAGTTTCGTAATCCCCCATATTCTATTTACAGGTTTCTTTCACTGAATTTTAACCTTTATAAAATATTGTCAAAAATATTACGAGTGCCGCGCTGTTTTAGCCGCGTTGTAATTCTGTTAATTAATTAGCCTACGTCACTTTCCGACCAATAAACTATCCCTGGCAAAATTATGGTAATACATTACCCCGTTTCGATGTAAAACAAACACAAATAAACATATTATAAATACTTTCGCAAGTGTATTGTTGGTCTGTATTATAATGTTCGAGTATCTAGTTTTTCTATTTTATTCTATAGTTGGTTGTTCGACTATACAATGACGCGGCCACGGCTGAAATACAAGATCAATGTAAATCAATAACATGGATTTTGGATTAAAGATTTTCTCCTGATCTTCATTGATATGTTCAGTGTGCTCAGAAAATTATGATTTCGATTAAATGCCTCTTTGGTATGTAGTTTCGATTTTCTTGAGTCTTTTTTTTAATTTTAGCTTAATCAATAAAGGTTGGCTTAGATTCGAGTAATCTGAACGTAATATGGGTGAGCGATATCTAAATAAGTTTGAATCAACATCTGGCGCGGGATTTTACTCGGCTAGCTCACGCTGTTACAACCCAAAATTACGGCGCCACGTTCCCTGGATTGCATTGACTCGATTTTATCGATTCCGAATATTCGATTATACAGAATTACGGCAGAGTATGTGAAACGGTGACATGACGGTGAAGGTGCACCGTAATTCATGAATCGGTAGAGATCAGCTGAAAAAATCGGTGGGTACGTATCACGGATGTGTAGGGTCACAACCGTATATTCGATGATTAAAAAAATCTTAGAAAATTTATTATTATACGTTGTACATATCTACAAATTTTGTTGTACAACTTTGAAGTAATTCGTATTTTTTTATTGTCCTGATGGGCAGACAAGAACATACGGTTCGTCTGATGGTGAGTGGTCACTGTCCGTCACCCTACATCCGTCCGTGTACAGGACGTCACCAATCCTAGGGACACAGCCAAGCCGCTGTCAAATTTTTCGCGAACCCGTTTTAGGTATGTATTTACTTACAAAATTTGATATCTACACCACCAGATTAGATAGATCCCCAGCACGGTCGCTTATTACGAATATACCGTGAGGCTTATTCGATTAATGCGGACCAAATTATAATGATAAATGATATTATGATTTTTTCTTGAAATAGCTAACTGTATATCATCATATCTATATCATACAAGAAACAACTTTTCTCTTCACGAGAGCCTAGACTGCCTTGTCAATTTTAAAACGTTAAAACATATATTTTGGTATCGCGGATGAGCGACAATTAATTAATGGCTCATTTATGATGAACGCAACACAAATCCAATTAATATGTATGATTACTATATACAGTTTTTCTATGAATAAAACTAAACAAGTTAAGTTTACTAATCACTCAGAAACACACTCGGCAACAACGAAAAGTTTCAATTTGGTTTTTGTTGCTCAAAACACCTTATGTCAAGGTATAATCTTCTATTACTCGCGAGCAGTTTGCGCAATAAATGAAAATATAATAGACGTTATCATTTTAAAACAAAAATACCTACTTACCGTGCCAGCGATACCCTTGTACGTCTCCGAATTCCCATATGAGTCGGCATTGGAGGTCGACGACTATGTGATTAACTTTTGGCACGAATTTTGTGACCCTTTTCATTAGGAAATTCTCCATTTGTTCAAGGTTTTGGAAGTCTAAAGTGCTTATTAAGGTCCCTAAAGCTACCTGTATTTTGTAGATAATTTTACTTGGCACGCGGAGACCACACGCTGTACATTGCCATGAAGACGAAGACTTCAGTGGTTCGATCGGCAGAAGATATCCCGTCGTACATTCGTTCGCTAAACAACAGAGGGCAGCGAGCATAGTACCGTTTTCCGTAGGATCCGCGCACCGTTCACACTTGCACCAAAAATGTTTTGTTTTGAATAAATAACTGCGTCGAGTCGTCGTTCCCCATAAAATCCCAGAATAGCAAGTGAATATTTCAGTTCCAGCTGCAATGAATCGACTCGTTTTAACGATCATTTGACGTTCATCATTGTAACTATATGTCGCATTTGGCAAACAACTATGATTCATGAGTCCTGCTACAGGGTACAAACCACGAAGACTCATTTCCTTCTTGCCGTACGGTGTTGCAATTTGAAATGCATTTGTATCTAAAGCTTGACAAGCGAATATCATATCTTTTTCAATTTCTTCAGGTATTTCAAAATACTGCTTGAGTTTTATGATTTCACCGCCATGTTGTGGTAATGTGTGTGCTGCTAAAGCGCTCATAAATTGTTTTTGTTCTTGGTTTAAAGACAATGCTCTTATGGCGGCTAGGGCATGTGACATTACAATTTCGTCTATTTCTTCAATGTCAACTTTTTTCTTCCAACCAGCAATAATGTTGCAATCATCAGTGTGAAAATCTTGACATTCCGTTGAGCATAGCAATAGGGCGCACAGAGAACACTTAAAGAATCCGTCATCTTCGAATTTGGAGCAAACTGTACATCCTCTGATGACATTTCCACAACGCGGACCAAAAATCAAAGGACGATCAACAAACAAAACTTCTCCACACAGAATGTCTTCAGTGGCTATTATTCCTCGACCGCCCACCGTTGATTCTCGGACCGTCCATTTACAGATTTGCTGTATGCAGTCTGTAGAGTTATAGAGACCGAGATATTTGTGCACCATCTGCGTCAATTGGTTTGATGATAGCATCCTGCCGCGGCGTGACTCGCTCTGTACTATGCTAGAACACACAATGAATTTGATATTTGATACGTTTTACCTTCACCCAAAACGGTCGCTGTAAATTTTCTCCGTATTTAACTGAGGCGAATCGACGTGCGTTTCCCGCGAGCGTCCAATAGGCACCTGATGTTTAATTTAAGATGTTGTATAATTAATAGTTTGAGTTAAATCTATCCTCTTGTTTTTCTATCTTGTTTTTATTAATTAATGGTAAGTACAGAAGTGATTAAAACCAGGTGCATAGTGTGAAAAACGAAATAGTCGCATCTGGGAAGGAGCAAGTGCGTTATAAATACTTAGATATAAATAAAGTGAAGTGGTTTCACTGTTATTTTTAGATTGCTGAAGAGCGCTTTGTCTAACACGAAAATGGGTTAAGAAACGAATGTACAGTTTTACCTACGTTTAGAATAAAAGTAGCTTCAAATTAAATGAATAAATTAGAAAAAATGTCGAAATATCAATGGAAATTTAATCCGTAATGTGAATTATTTTTAGCATAGATAAACTGGTTATTTTTGGCTTCATCGAAATTTCGAAAAATAGGGGTCATTTTACTCGATATCAGTACTATTTCATAGTCGCGCAAGTTATTCGATAGATTATATGCAAGTTTTATTATTATGTTGACTTGTTGATTCGCTGTGTGTCTTGCGAGGAGGCTATTCGCTCACAGTGGAGAGAGCATATAAATAAATAAATTATGTACTATTATATTTGTGGTTGCGATAGAGTAAGTATTCCAATCCGTAAATGAAGAATGGAAAGCAGTCGACGTCGCCCAAAACACGTCATCTCGGATCCTCCCGATCCACTAACGGTGCTTTTAGGTACTTCAAGCACCGGTCACCGTTCTCGTCGAACCCGTCGCTTGCGACGAAGGGCTCGGCGAGTAAATTAACCCTCAGACACAGCCCACTGAGTTTCTCGCCGGATCTTCTCAGTAGGTCGCGTTTCCGATCCGGTGGTATATTCTGCGAAGCATGGCTCCTTGCTAGGGTTCGTGTTATCAACGTCGTCAGGTTTGAGCCCCGCGAGCTCACCTACTAGTTAAGGTTACGCTGGAATAGCCTCTCAAGGCTACCAGCTTAGGTAGGAAAAAAAAAACCGTAAATGTAATTAATTTAACAAATCTAATTAAATTCCAAAGAGTTCAACAAAATAACGACTGTGACTGAGGTTATAGGATAAATTTATACTTTTTTAAATGTAGTAGAATCAGTTAATGGCCAAAATGATCTATGAAAACGCACTGTGGGTGAACGCCATATAGCTAAGTCACGTTGTGCGAGGATAAAAAGGAGTTCAACAATTAAAAAACAACCATCAAAACTCATGGGTACGCAATATTTTTATTATTATTAATATTTCTATACATTTTCTTGTTCACCGAGAAAATCAAGGTGTTTCCGTAGCCAGTGAGATTCGAAAAAATCCTTTAGACTAAGGCTATCGACAATCCGAGTAGGTTACTTTAAGAATCGAATTTTGTTTAATTATCAAATTATAGATGTAATTCGTGCTTTATTTCTCTTATAATATTCCTTTGTTCTATGTTGGTTCACGCCCTCAAAGTCACACACAAAGTGGTGTCAGGATCTGTAACACGATCCAAACCTTTTGTTACAGCAGATCCCTCCGTTCGTTAATCTGAGTAGTTTCTGTGACAACTTGTCCAATGTGGACGTACATGTCATTTTTAAAAGAAATTAAATGCATAAGAAAAACTTACTTACGTGAGGTTATTAGTTGGTGCACGCCAATCAGGGAAGGTTTTGTATCATCAAGACTTTCGTACAAATGTTTGATTATCATGAAGACGAGTGTCCGTGGTATTACTTTGACAGTTCCTACAAAACTCTGCTTGGCGCTTGTCTATTTCTATTTGGTTTGTACCTTGCAATTACAACATCCTTCTAAATAAAGCTAGGTCATTGAGTTACCGTTTATTTTGTTGTTATCAGGAGTGTTTGGGGCGCTGCTTAACGGCTGGTTGTTCGCTACCTTTATTCATAGCCACTTGTTAATTTTCAAAAGTCACATATTGGTATTCAATCTGTGCGCGGCATCGCTCGGAAGGAATTTACTGGGATTTCCTTTCTCGGGTTCTTCAGCTGTAGCAAAAAGGTACTTTTCATTGTTCTTTTTATTGAGAGATTTCTCTGGCCCGGAGGCCTTTCCATTTTTACCAGGACTGGTGGGCGGGCAAGGGCTCAACCAGGAGGGGTGAGATTTACTAGCAACTACCCGAGTGCCTCCAAAGGAGACCTAACAACTCAAGAGGAGCTGCTTCGCAAAGGAATCTACTACCGGATCGGAGTTGCGACCCGCTGAAAAGATACGGCGAGAAACTCAGTAGGCTGCGTTTGCACGTCGAACTATTTGCCGAGTTCGACTTGTACGGTTACCGGGGTTCCTAAGCCTACTCCTAGTGTTAGAGTTAAAGGCGTCTAATGCAAAGTTTATTGGATCTGATGGATCAATAAAGACGTGAACTTTTCATTGGTGTTAGAGTGCTGAGCCTAGTTAATGTTTTGTAATATCCAAAGGTTCACATCGTGCTAAAACCACCAAATGTAAATAAGGCACGAAACTGGACGCGGAAGGCTGAGGACTATTCATTGCGGTTCACTGTTTCAAAAACTTACATTCTGCAGTGAAGACACACTGGCTGATGTACATTGAAAATGATAGATGTTTATCTACAATAATCCGAAATTTTGAATTGCATCTAAAATTTCTAACTTGTTTGTAGATGGCTGTTCGGTCCATCCTGTTGTCAGCTATTTGCGTTTTTCAATCAATTCTTTGGTGTCTTTCAAATGACTTCAATATTCGTTTTAATATTAGAACGATATATTCAAGTTAAGTTTTATAAGCGTGGTATGTATTGTTAACAAAAAATTCAGACTCTATTTTTCTCATGACGAAGGCAGATTAACACGTTTATTTAATTTTAGAAAAATCGGTGTACATAAGGTTGTATTGGACACTGATCGCAGTAAGTTGGATCAATTCATTTCTATTCGCCACTCCTCCTCTGTTCGGATACGGATTATATTCGTGTGACACAACTGGAACATCATGCACCTTTCTTTGGCCTTCAATGTCATCGGGAGCAAAGCAATTGGGTTACGCCGTGCCCTACATTTTAATTTGTGGACTCATACCAATTGTGGCAATGTAGGTTTACAAATACATTTTATTTTACATGGATTATTTAGTTATGACGCTTCATAAATTTTCTTGTTTCATTTCAGGTTTTACTACATGGGAAAAGCGTTAAGATTAGAAAAGATATTTTACAAGGGTGAACAACAAAGGGAACAAAAATGTCTTACCCAGGTTGGTGAAGTATTTTAATTAGTTACGCTGTGATAGAAGCTTTCTGTCAGTCGATTTTGTAGTATATTGTAACTGCTAAGACAATACTTTTACTGGACGAAAAGATATAGATAATGTCTTTCAATATCTCTAAGCTTCTTCTCGTATCGGTACATTGAAATGGAGAATGGAGCAATATGTTGCACTTGTTATTTCCAAGATAACCCAGTTCTATTCTTATGATAAAGATCATAAGTTCGATATTGGGCACCAGGTTCAAAGCTTTGAATAAATGTAAAAGTTCTATTATGTATGTAACGTGTGTTCACTAATATTTATAGTTCTTATTGAGAGTGCAAGATACAGCTTCTTTTAAGTATAATAACCGGCAAACTTCTTGAGCATTTGTCGACGTAGTGGGGGTAAGTTCGCGCATGGTACACTCACGTGCAAAAACATTATTTACTCTGCGTCATAATGCTATTAAATTATGAAAATCAACATATTATGTATTTATTTATATATTTATTAGAACATCAACAAAAAATATAGGTTAATAATTGTAATAATTTCATCTTGGGGGTAAAATAGATATTCCTTCTATTAAGTCAAAACTAGAGCTGTTGCCAGGTCTTGGTTCAGTTGAAGCGAAGCTGGTATTTGTAATTTTTTTTCCGTTATCCTAATCTTGACCATCATCATCATCACTGTTTTCATCACCCGAGTCGCTATCATCGTGATGAGTCGACATAGGGCTCATCGGTGTAGTTTACAACTCGGTCGGTTCGGTCTTCTTTTTTGTCTCTATTTAATTATTTTTTGGAGATATTCGATTCGTAGTAATCGAATGTTACTTTTTTCAATTACCAGCTTCCGATTACTTTCTGTTTTTTTTTTCCATCTGAAGCCTAGCTCTTTCATAATTCGTCGTAAGCTTCATTCCGAGCCATTAAAATTTATATCTTCTTTAGATTTTTCGAAACCTTTCTACGATACGGAGTTTCGCTGCTTGATAAGTAGTTATTATGATTACAGCTTTTTATTACAGATTGTACGAAACTATCCATTCCGGTAACTTTCTTCTTCCCTGACCTTTTCTTACCCGGAGGCCGAAACATGGCGAGCAAGCTAGAGCCTTTAGCTTCGTTAATAATGCACCTAACAGTACTCACTGATATTTTTCTTGCTTCCGAAGTCTGTTTTACTTTTTCCATATCATTCTTCCCCTGTTTTATAATGAAGCAATATACGTCGTACACATTTTTTCTACCCTTTCTTTTGAATACTACACCTGTTTGTCGCGGCATAGTGTATTTTTTATAAAAAATCAACAAACACTCAACATATAGCAATGGCAACAAAGTCAACAAGCAATTATAACAAATAACTTAACGATTAATAACGATAGACTTTTTACTGTACGCAAGCGTACTTTTGGGAGCAAGCGGAACGAGGGCGCGGTGCGGGGCGCAGGGTTCGACTGATCTACCAATAACGCGCTCGATACGATTTCCCCTGCCGTCGCGCCTCACCCTCACCACCAAAGTGATCTAAAATTCGGTTCTGCGCAGTCAAGGTCATTTGCTCAAGAAGTTTGCCGGTTACTATACATAGCTTCTCCGTATGTCAAGTGTACTCCGATAAAAATTTACAATGTCAATCCCTATTTCCATTTTGATTATAAGTAGGTGTGATTTTAAGACTAATAACCCACCCTGCACAGTAAGGCCTAAGATGATGTGATGTGTTCGATAGGTGTTTTATGCTTAATATAAGGAATTTTATAGATGTCATATTATAGCTTCAGTTTGCTCCAACATTTTTTTGTTGCAATACAGACGTAATCTGAAGTAGCTGGAAGCAAGGTTACAAGGATTTGCATTTCAATTTTGATTTACTAAAAAAAAATATTTTTTTTACTCAGAGCGCACACGCGGTCTGTGTTGGCACATTGGCCTTATGGATTCCAGCAGCTGTCCTAGCGGGATGGCAATGGGTACCGCTCCTCATCAAAGGCTATCGACCGCACGTGCCACCGACACTAGCTTTGATCGCTTCCATTGCTTCTGAAGTTAGTAAAATTTATATTATTAACTGCAGTTATTGATTTGTTATTTGAATTTATTATACTTTTCTAAATGACAGTCGCGGTGTTATTATTCATTACGTTTATTTTTTCAGGCAGCAACTACTGTTCCTGTGCTGTGTTACCTAGCCGTGGATGAGAGACTCAGAGCAGCGTTGTTGGGTAGAATGCGAAAACAATACGCTTTACTTCAACCCGAGCGAGCAAAGATTTATAAGAGAGTATAGCAAATTAGCGGTTACAGGTTTAAATAAACATAAGAAGATATTTAAAAAAAAAATGGTCTAAATTATTTACATATAGAAAGAATCGATTCGAATGTTTCGTATTTTATTCACTTATAATAAATTATTCCAAGTAAAAGTAATGTGTTTTTATAAATAAAATATAATTATATAGCCGTCATGATTATCAATCATGTTACATGTGATATGAAAGTAGAATTTCTCGATAGGCGTTACATCATGCCATGAAGTCACACTGAAAAATTTCAGTTCTGTTTCCTGTTGAAGTGATTTATCTATGGACGATAGGAGCTGTACGCAGCACATTATAACAATGTACCAGAGTCATTGCTTACCAAAAGCTATGATTAAAATTGGATAGTGAGATGATAGGGAATTTTAGCTGCTAACAAAGTTTTTGTACGAAAATAAAAATGTGTTTGTCAATATTGTAACGACAAAGAAAATCGCTTACGCTAGACCTATTGATTCAAAGTTATTTAGCTGTCGAAATATGTTACAATTGCTAAAGAAAACCTCGAAATGCATCTTTTCGACTATAATCAAAATTTGAACAATGCTTAAAGGATATGAAGCTATACTTGAAGTGGATTGCACACGTGCCGAAGGACTGAAAGCGAATGTAAAATAAAATATGGCTTATTCCTATGAGGCGACGATTTGCAAAATCGGTCTATAAAATTTTATTGTGGACAGCAGTAGATTAGAGTCGCACGTCTACGAAATCTAAGTTCACTATTTTTATCACAAGCTTTGGTATCTCATATCACATTGGTATAATATAAAGTATCACACCACATTTGATACAGTTACAAGCTCGGCTTAATCTTTTGCAGTCGTATTAAATTTGGAAGTGGTTGTCCTACTGCTTTTCTGAATTAACTTCCGTCGAAAGAACAGTCAGCACCCTAATTGTTCGCGAATGGGTTCTTTAGACATTCAGGTTTGTTAGATAAAGCGTAAACCAGCACGTGGTTCAATAAAGTGTAAGATTAGTATGGTTCCTTACTATGGTGGCTGAGATTACATAAGCGACCGCAAAGGGTTAAATATCTTGGAGGGATTTGCGCATTTCGAAACGCATTAATAAAACGACAGTAAGTGCTTACTCATTTTACCCAATTTTGTAAAATTTCTACTGAGCTACAAAAATAAATATTGTGTGATTTGTGCCTTCGTTTGTCACACATGTTCGAAGTGCCTAAGTTCAGTCCGGCTAAGCCAGTCCGCGCGTACTATAGGTATGCTATGCACAGACATCTAAATATTGTGTTACACCTTCACAAAACACAATGGGTGAAACAGAGCGCGAGGATCTAAAACCAGTTCCTCACAGAAGACGTAATTTAACACTTGGTTTTCAGTTTGAAGTCGTGAAGGGACTCTCAAGATTTATTACGTATACATAAATTATATTTCAGGCAAGAAGACGTTGAAATCTCACTCAGTACTATTAGAGACTCGATGCTGAATAGACTTTAAGCATTGGACATTTCCTGTCCAAATAAGAGTATTATTTTTCATTTTAATATTGAACTTTTCATTTATTATGGAGAATGAAACTTGTTTTTGGAGAGGGTTATTTGATACCAATGAACGGAATGTGCTCCAGGAAGGGATGATTGCAACAGGTAATTCTCGTGTTATAATAATCTCGCCAGGTGATCGAATATGTGTTTCATCTCTTTTTTTTGTTAATTAAGATATATCATACAATACATCTGCCACGGAAACATTTCAAACCTTGTAAATTATAAAGAGGATAACGTCAGACGTACCTACAGCTTTTATGCACAAAACTGGGACAGTTTTTGGTGTTGTTTTCTATAACTTAATACGGTTTTTGATTCGTTAGTTCATAATTTTGGTAACTTTTTTTCTTACATGAGTGAACGAGAATGCAGTCCATTTGGTATAATTATTCTCCAGGTACCACACACCACTGACAACTATACAATATATAAGTGGTAACAATTTTATTGTATAGTGGCTTACGTTCCCAGTCTCACACTTCAAATCGGAGGCCTGCTGCTTTTCGGCAGAAATAGGTGCGACCCTGGAGGTAAAAAACTTGTGCGGAATTAAAATAGCAAATGCCGGTTGGTGATCGCAGTAATCTGGTGTAATACTCAGACGACTCTGATGCCTATTCTCCTTGATTCTTAATCCCTAGTCGCCTTTACGTCACCCACGGGAAGCGATAGGTTGATGCTATTCTTGGTTGATACCACACGGTCGTGCAATGTTGATTTGCTTTAAAATATACTCTCTTCTCTTCTTCAACCAGTGTCCACCCAATGCTGAGTGTAGGTCTCTACGAATGCACCCCATTCTCTTCGGTCTGTTGCCTTTCTCATCCAGTCTCCAACTTGGTTTAAAATTTACAGAGTCGCGTAAATTAGTTAATTACAAGTAATGATTTACTCTACGTTCTACGGTAAGCATCGTAAACATAAAATCATATTTAGAGACCCAAGCGAGCTGATAGACTTAATTTTCAGGTATATTTTCTGTTACGTTGAGTGCATGGGTTACGGGAACAATCTTACTTACTGATCTTCGGAGTAGCTGGAGCTATAAAAATTTAGCTAATTTTTACATCATTGCGTGTATCAGGAGGCTGTTACCAACGATTTTGAATAACTTGACAGTTTTCTTCTTTTTTTTAAGGTAAGCATGTGAATAATATCAATTCCAGTTTTCTATTAGACTGAACGATTATTTGTTTCAGTGATGTGGAGAAATGTGATGTTGACGGTTTTTTGGAGACGTTTTTCGCTGTTTTTGAAGTTGAGTTTTTGACCCATATTTGTATTGAAAGATATGTTATCGCTAAGTACGTAAATAATGGTGAGTAATGTATTTTAATTGAGTCGACTATTATCAAAGCCGGCAATGTGACTTTTGGAAAGTTATTGGTAAATCAGAAAAACGAATTATTGACTTTGTATTTCATTGGCAGTCACAAAACTCTTCTGAACGATATCTTAGATAAATAACAGGTTAAGTATTAACCTTTATTTAATGCAGGTTTTGAACCGTATTCTTTGAAGGAGACGATTATATTCAAATCAATCTGTATTGACATATCAATAACATTTTTTTGTCCAAATGCACAGATTGCCACCTTTGATAATAGACGACTCAATTGTTCTAGCCCGTATTAATTTAAAAATAAATACTACCTGTGGGACTACATGAGTTGTATTGCACTAGTGTTAACGCTTTTAGAAAAATAGATAAAAGTCTGCGATTGATATAAGCTAACGCAAAAAGCAATCACCTTGACAACTCTATACATTTGCTAATAGAATGTTGCCTGGAAGCCTAGCCCAGGAGTCATAAACTGCTTCTTTTAATGATTTATTTAATTAATTTATTTTAATTAATTAACTTATTTAATTTATTGGCTTTGATTTTTATAATACGTTGTTATTATTCCTTAATCCCTGAAATTACTTCTGAAAGTGAGATCTATTTTTACTTTTGTACTGTAAGTTCCTACTTATTTAATTTTAGTTCTTATCACTTATAGTGCTTGCTATAAGATTTGTATTTTGTACCATTCTTATTAAAATACTTACAGAATGCAAATGGCTTGCTTTTCTTATCTTAAACTTAGATAAGGTACTCAGTATCGTTGGGATATAATACCATATTATTTTCGTTGATGAATTTAGAAAATATTTCCTAAGGATGTTACTTATAAATAGTGTCTTTTATATTTTGCAGGCTGGGATTTGAAGAAGAGTCATTACACTTTGTACTATTTTTTGAGTGTAATGTTTTCATTCCTGTACTCTGCGCCACCTCTGTTTGGTGTTGTTGGTTTTGCTCGCGATTTCACGTGCACCTCATGTATTTTAGATATGATATTCCCCGGAACTTGGGAGAATGTTCTTATGATCGCTATATTTGTTTTGAGAAGTGTTAAGCCGGCTATTTTCATGTAAGTATAAATTTTTCGAAGTAAAAATAACACATGACGTTAATGGCTGCTAAAAGTATTTGTTGAAACTTTTAGGATTATTATGTTGAAATGGGCTTCCAAATTAGAACGTGAATGTATCAATTGCGACAAGATAGATATTCAGCTTACGAATGTGAGTATAATTTTTTATCGACATAGAAACTGATTACATTTACTTATTGTGAGCTCACATGAGTATCATCTAATTTACAGCCGCGAAACAAACTTGAGTTCGTTTTTTTATTGCTTTGATGGACGGACGAGCTCGCAGTCAACCTGGTGCTAAGTGGTTACTGGAGCCCATAGACATCTATAACGTAAATGCGCCACCCACTTTGGGATATAAGTTCTAAGGTCTCAGTATAGTTACAACGGCTGCCCCACCCTCTAACCCGAAACGCATTACTGCTTTATGCAGGGAGAGGTCTATGTCTAGCAGTGGATAATTGTGGGCCGGTGATAATGATTGACAGTACTCAATACTGCACTGCAATAAGTTACGTTTTGTAGCAGATTTTTAATATATCTGTAATGTTATTTTTCAGAGCATTGTTGCTATAACTGCAGCGCATTTTATTTGTTGGGCGCCTATAGTGTTTATTAGAGGACTTGTTATCATTTCACAATTATTAAACATAAAACCGATGGTTATCTCTGCGCTGACTGGATTTCATGGGCTATGTGGATGCATTGGGTGAATAAATTTACATTTTTTTGTTTGGTGAATGAATGAATTCACAGCCCGTCTAGTGGGTACTAATTATCAAAGCCCTCAATTTGTGTTCACGAGCGACTTTCTATTGTAATGTAGCAGATTCCGTGTTCTTAATTATCAAAATATTTTATGTACTCTGTTTTCTTTAGTCAATTTAAATTAATTGTTCAAATTTTTTTTAAATGGTGTTACTTTTGTGGTAGCCGTAATAAGTGCATTTTCATAGGTGCTGTATTTATATATTTTATGTCATGAATTTATGTTGATATCGATTAAAAACTAAGAAACGCTACAATGCGTGGTCATGTACCTACATGAAAACATGCATTATAGTTTCTTAGAAATGATACTTAGAAAAAATTATATTTGAAGTCGTCGTGGCCTAACGGATAAGACGTCCGATGCATTCGTGTTGAGCGATGCGCTGGTGTTCGAATCTCAGGCGGGTACCAATTTTTCTAATGAAATACGTACTCAACAAATGTTCACGATTGACTTCCACGGTGAAGGAATAACATTGTGTAATAAAAATGAAACCCGCAAAATTATAATTTGCGTAATTACTGGTGGTAGGACCTCTTGTGAGTCCGCGCGGGTGGGTACCACCACCCTGCCTATTTCTGCCGTGAAGCAGTAATGCGTTTCGGTNTTCCACGGTGAAGGAATAACATTGTGTAATAAAAATGAAACCCGCAAAATTATAATTTGCGTAATTACTGGTGGTAGGACCTCTTGTGAGTCCGCGCGGGTGGGTACCACCACCCTGCCTATTTCTGCCGTGAAGCAGTAATGCGTTTCGGTTTGAAGGGTGGGGCAGCCGTTGTAACTATACTTGAGACCTTAGAACTTATATCTCAAGGTGGGTGGCGCATTTACTTTGTAGATGTCTATGGGCTCCAGTAACCACTTAACACCAGGTGGGCTGTGAGCTCGTTCACTCATCTAGCAATAAAAAAAAAGAACAGTATTTTTTTTACATCGCTCTCAGTTTTCAATCTTTGTTTACGAAACTAAAATTTAATGATGTAATCTTGTTTTAGATTGCGCCTGCCGTATCCGTCATAGCATTATTCGCAACGAATGATCGTATTTGCTATTATTCGTATGGTGTGTTCGTTAGTTCTAAGCCCGCTGACGACGGCAAAGAAAAGGAACATTAATAATATGTTGTTTTTCCAAAATAAAAAGTCTTGTAAGTTGCATAGTACATGAGTTCTTTATATTCATTGTTTTGATGACGTTGTGGAATTGGTTTATTGAGAAGGACATCACAAAATCGTCATGCACAATATAATTTTATAGCCAAAATTAAATAGGAGACTGTTTTAGACTATTTTATTTGTGTTTCTTCCTTCGCTCAATATCGATTTAATTTACCAGAATAATTATAATAATTATTTGCTTTTTCTAAATTTTTGCTAAAATTCCAATTAGTTCATTCAATATTTCAAATTTTAAGAATAAGAAGAAACGGGTAACGACATACACGACACTGAAACAAATGATCATTTTAAATATGTTTATAATTATATAGACAGGTATAGTGACTATATATATTAACATCAATTTCAGTGAAATCGCATCACATGCGATCGCAAGAATGCCAACAATAATGTAATAAAAAGACAAGATTTGTACGAAGAATATCAGCGTAATTGCAGACATAAAAATCGTTCCTACATAGTTTTATCTAATTCAGTCGATTGTTCAAATAGTATACAATAATATGTTAAAGATAGATATTATACTGTTACTGTGGCAAATAAAGATCCGTCCTACGAAACAATTATCTCCCTACATGAACACAACATGGAAGATATCGCTATTTGCTGAGAAAATATACGTAAAAAATTTAAGAGAAGAAAGTAATTGTTTTTCTTAAATTTATAATAATATATTACACAATTTTTCTAAGATCACAAAGCAAACAATGCTTTATTAACTAAGATGTAGTCACATCTAGACACGATTGGTCCGCAATAAGGCTAAGTTTTATGGAGCGTTACACAGAATATCAGCAATAAATCTCCATTAGTCTAACCCAATTATAGCTTACATAGATTATAAATTGAGGTATTCATTAGGTATTATACCAACTTCGTATTTTCAAAAATCCCCAACATAAAGCACATAGTTAACCCATTACTATATAAAACTATTTCTTTGTTTTGTGATTCTAAATCTTTTGTGTCACAACTATATCTCATAATTTTATATCTCATATCATCATCAATTATTTTAGAAAGTAATTTATATTGCACCTTTTAAATACTATATTCCTACTTATTTACAAAAACGCAATGCCGAAATCTTTGGAATGGTTTTCATGATTTTCGTCGCAGCACTCATCGCATTCATCCATCGTAAAGTCTTCATATTTGATAATTTCATTCTCGTTCACATAAAATGTATGATTTTTCCCTGTTATCTCTGCCTCGTATACCCTGTGCATGAAGGTATCCTCTGTAGAGCCGGTAGAGGACGGCGTAGAGGGACTGTTGAGAACGATAACTGGATTATCGCGTCTCATCCCTCTCGGTCCATCCTGCTATATCTGTTGCAAAGCAGTCGCTTGACCCCATTGCTTATTGCTTTGGCGCCTATTTATCATTGGAATGAAGAATAATATCAAACCGCTCAGCGATATGGTTCCTCCTGCTACATAAAATGCTGGACCATAGGACTGTGTTGCATCGTACAACCGACCTGAAAAATATTATATCGATGTAAATTCATACAAAAAGTTAATGCAACAGTAAAACAAGAACGGATGTTCTTGATAATGGAACACATGTACGGATGTGATGTATATACATGTATTTTTAGCCAAACAAGTCTTATGGAGAAGAGAAAGTAAATATCACACGCAGAAAGAGCCAGGGCGCAGTGCTTCTATCTTGCGTGACGATTTATGCTAGTCGTACCTCTACAGTAAGTCAGCGTAAAAACTGATTCCCAAAAGATTCCCTAAGATTCCCATAACTAATGGTAGAAATTAATTGAGGTTTTACCTGCTAGTGGAGGTCCAATTAAAGAAGCGACTCCTTGAAACAACAGCAGTAGCCCAAAAGCATTTGTGAGTTTTTCAAGGCCCAGTAGATCGACTAGTACCACCGAAGTGAGGCCTACATATGCACCAATAGTAAATCCAAATACAGTGGCATATAACGCCAGACCCCAAAATTCCCAACAAATCATAGCCATTGCTGTACCTGAAAAAGAAATGTTAGTAATAAAGACATCTACATGATTTTTTTTCAACTGACCACTGCAGTATTTTGATCATACTCACTAATGCCAGCGATAGTTAATGACAAATTGTAAGCCATCAATCGATTTACCCAGGGCTTGTCACTGATAAAACCAAGAATAATTCTTCCGATCAAATTTGAAGCTCCAATTATTGAAATCAGAAACGCCGGGTTCTCTATGCCCATGCTTTTACTCATCGGCACCGTGTACACATACGGTATATAGAATCCAATACTGGTCAAAAAGTTAGAAATTGCGAATAAAATAAATATAGGATCCACCAACAATGAAAAGTCTAACATTTCTGATAAGATTGACTTCGATTCCGCCGGAGCAATAACTCTTTCGGGCGAAGGAGCCCTAAATCTGGCAAGACTCGTCATGCTTCCCTGATACAAAACGTCAGGTCTATTCATTATTCCGCTTCCGTGCCGAGAGTGTGGCTGTTTTGGTTCATGATGTTTATTTAAAGCGGGCTGCGATAGTGTCAATCTGGCGACATCACCATTATCAGTTTTTCCGTTGGCTCGTACGATTTGTTCCGTACTTTGAGACTTTTTCAATGGTGATTTATTTTGCTTTTGTAGCATAGGTTCTGTAACGGGTGTCCTAGGTCTCTCTGGTACTGGTCGAAACATTAGACCCAATGGTATGCAATTAAGAATTAAACCGCCAATTATAACCATGGCTCCTCTCCAGCCATAGTTTGAGATCAATACTGACGTTATCGGTGCAAATAGGAATGTTCCAAGACCTGATCCACATACGGCAATACCTGAAGCAAAAAGAAATACAAATATTACTTTTGCCTACAAAATTAACAATTTCAATTGTAACTATGCTGTACAACTTTTTTTGTATATATAGCTGTTTATATTGGTCACTGTAGTCCATGTACAGTATAACCTGAATACCGTTGCCATTTTCAAATTTGGGCTCGAAGTATAATTGTACGAACAGATCTTTGGCCATGGCTTATTTTCGCAGTCCTGTTTCTTCTTGTTCTAGAGACCTTTATTACTGGTTTGACAATATTCAACATAAATTGAAATTTAATTTAATATAAATTTAACATAACCTTTTTGTTTTTAAAGTCATTGGGTTAAAAAGTGTAAAAGTTATTTTGGGAATAATTGGGTTACGAATCGATAATTACCTGTAGCCAAACTTCTATAGCGCTCGAACCAGACGGTAACACTAACGATGGCTGGCAGATAAATGAGGCCAAAGCCAAAGCCAGCTCCGACACCGATAGTGAAGATGAGCGTGAGAACATTACCGGCAAAGGCAGAGGCTACGACGCATACCGAAGACAAAATAGCACCGGCCACTGTCACTAGTTGACATCCCCAGCGGTTAACAAAAGAACTCGAAATGGGACCTGAAATTAGATAAATAAAAACATTCAAGCATTTTATTATTATTATTTATATTATATAAAAAAATATGCAACTTTGTTATATTTTTATTATAACGGTTGACCATAACATCATATCAATAAAGTATCTCTTAACAACATCAAAGTATTTAATTTACATACAGTGTTGTATTTTTATTGTTTTCTTTAAAATATGGTACTTATACTCATAAAAAAAACTAAAACATTCAAGATTGGTATTAAAATCATATAGCATATTGTAATAGATAACATGATTCACAGACCTAAATGACTAAATAAGGGCCATATGCACTGACATACACATATAACATATAATCAAATAAATGTGTCAATACAATTAATATTTGAACAGAGTAGCGTGCGAATTACTGATACTTAATTCGGTTACGTAAACAAAAAACAAATCCAGCTACTAGAAGTAAGTTTCTACGGACCGCAAATGTTTCAATTATGACTTTACTGTCGTTTATTTTGGTAAATCATAAAGATGGCGATTTTGTTCATGATGAATTGTTACTTTATTTTTCTACCTATGCTGATATCCTTGAGAGGCTATTTCAGCTTATCCTTGACGGGTAGGTGAGCTGACGGGGCTCAAACCGGAATGTTGCTAGCACTAGCCCTAGCAAGAGCAGTGCTTCGCAGAATCTACCACCAGATCGGAAACGCGACCCACTGAGAAGAACCGGCGAGAAACTTCGGAGAAACTCAGTGGGGAAGTGTTACTGTGTTTGTTTGCGTGACATTGAAACATATAGTCGTACTCTTAATTATATTGTACAATTGATGTCCCACTTATCGAATTGGAACGCATGAGTATTTCGCGTTGAAATGTGTAGTAGTACATATCATTAATTGTACCCTTGGGGGCACATAATACGCCCTACCGTTATTAATAAGATTCTTGTTTGTTTCTATGTTTATTTTGTGGTAAACGTCGAAAGGCAGAAAGTCTCTGTCATATTATGCTTTTTTTTATATTGTTTTACGCCACTGGATGCGAGTCCTTATGAGCCCGTCATATTATGCTGACCTTAACGTGTTTCCAATTAATGGGGATTTAGGTATATAATATTTTCCGCAAATGAATCAATCATCAAATTGACAAATACTGTATGTGTTCAGAAACGATTCATTCAATGGAAAAATATTAAACACGCATTATTATCTGTATGCATTTGACCTTTGCTTGTTGAGTCAGACAAGACTCTGGTTTTCCAAGTTCGTTGTGTTTTATTAAGTCTTTAGAAGGAACTTAATTACAATAAAACAATATAATTGTATATAATGTATACATTATATTCTCAAACAAACAGCGCCTTTATTCTATTGTTTTGAACCATAATGATACTTTAGAAATAAACACGGTGAAGTTCACTTAAAACAATTTATTTCAAAGCGATGTAAGGTTAATGCATTCAAGTACGAGCATCACATTACAACACACATATACAGGTAAAATAATTACCTGAACTTAAGGTGACTCCAACGAGGATGGAGACAATCCACGCAGTCTTGTAGCTACCTTCTTGGAAATATATCAGGAACTCCGTATAAAAAACGCCGAAAGAGTATGTCATCCCATCGGCTGAAAAAATAAAACAAGATTTAATGCAAAGCGAACACGGTTTGAAGATTACAAGCAACTTTACTTAGAAAAAGTATTGTATTTCGATCAACTATAATAATAATACTTTCAGTGTGATCATTTAGCTTTCTTTAAAGGTAATGACAATATTATATATCTACTAGCTGACCCGGCAAACATTGTTTTGTCATATATAAGATTTCTAGGGAATTTCTAGTGTAGAAAAAAAAACTAACTTATTGTAAGTGTGTAAAGATGTGGTAAATGAGTGAAAGAGGTATGTAGTGCTGTGTACGATGAGGGGATATATAATAAAAATAACAAAACCTCATTCAATCATATAATACCTCATTATAACAAAAAAAAAAATTTAAATAAAAAAAATATGTTAGGGGTAGACAACCCTAATCACTTAGGGGTATGAAAAATAGATAGTAGCCGATTCTCAGGCTTACTGAATATGCATAAAAAATTTCATGAGAATCGGTCAAGCGGTTTCGGAGGAGTATGGGAACGAACATTGTGACACGAGAATTTTATATATAGATAGGTATTGCAAGATCAGCACCACCTTTGATTCCACCGTCACGAAATTCTCCGAGTAGCCGAAGACGGGTTGAAATGACAATATAGTGATGGATGTGAGTAGGATAAGTAATTTAGAAAACTAGTATTAGATTGTGTACAAATTTTTCCTGCATTTCCATTAAATTATTAGAATTTAAATTATTATTGTCAATTTTTAAATATTATATTTTCACATAGTTTAAAAATAGACTATGACGTTTACTAATGTGCGTAAATAGCGTCAAAGACTTATACATACAAATGTAGGTTAACATGATAGGCGCACACTCTTTGTGGTGGTATCGATGTATGGGAAAGTACACAATGGAACACCGTAACAATAGAACTAGCGCCAACATCAAAGATACTTCCTCTTCATTCAACTTTGTGCATAAGAAAAAGGCATGGTTCACTTTTGTTAGATAATGTACAGACAGCCAAGTTTTACGACAGTTCTGCGATGTTTCTGTTTCATTATTTCTTCATGTATCTAATGAATTCTAAACAAACGGACACAACAGATCTTGCCGTTATTATGGTCTATGTAAGGATGATGAGAAAAGTAACACGAGGAAGTTGAGGTTGTATACTAATTTAATTTATAGACAGATTATTGTCATCCCATATCATTAATCAGATCTGAGGAGACAAAAAAATAAATAATAAGCTAGGCGGTTTGTAGTGAGCCCTTTATATTGTCGAGGTACTTAGATGCCAAGCTACTTTCACGTGGGTTTAATTTTTTATTCCCTACCTATGCTGATAGCCTTGAGAGGCTATTTCAGCTTCTCCTTGACGTGTAGGTGAGCTCACGGGGCTCAAACCTGAGTGTTGCTAATACTGGCCCTAGCAAGGGCAGTGCTTCGCAGAATCTACCATCGGGTCAGAAACGCGACTAACTGAGAAGATCCGGCGAGAAATTCAGTGGGCTGTGTCTATGGGTTAATTTATATGTTGGGCCCTTCGTCGCAAGCGACGGGCTTGGCGAGGACGGTGACCGGTGTTTGAGGTATCTAAAAGCACCGTTAATGGATCGGGAGGATCCGTAATAACGTGTTTAGGGCGAAGTCGACTGTTTACCATTCGGTCCACAGGATCGGGTACCTATGTAGGTTTCTCACGTATCGGTCTATTAAGCAACATAATTCGGGGAAAAAATTCAATTAATAGTTTCCTGTATGACTGTTTCATTTCGAACAGAATAAAGAAGTTTCTTTAAAATTTAATGAAAATGTTCTCGTGAAATCTTAAGAAAAATTTTGATACGAATCGGTTTATCTATGTTAATTAGGCTCCTCGTTAACATTCCTGGAAAGTTATTCATAATCTAAATAAAGGATTAACTTAATATTCCATCTAGTATTTTGATAAGGCATGTTCAAAGTTTTAGGTTGCTAACAACTTTGATTTGATAAAATAAACTCTTAATAATATTGTATAAGCCTTTTCATCTACTGTTTCTTATTTCTAGAAAACGACTATCCTAAATAACTTAAGAAACCGTAATTAAGAAATAAGTTAAACACAATACTAATTATTTTACTTAGTATCTATTTATAGTACATAATGTTTGACCTAATGTCAGCAAGCGTAAAAAGATTCTATGAGGTTTTTATCGGAATCAATACCTTTGCATTGATCTTGAAATAGCTATGTTGCTTTATAAAGTGTGATAATTAAAATCAGTAAGTACGCTTAATGATGAATATAACTAGATATAAGTCTAATACGTGTGTTGAAAAATTATTTGAAATCCACTGATGTACTTCTGCGATATTTCCTTTAAAGTTTTTTATGAAATTTTAGAGGGAACGTGTTTTCCTGCAAAACGAGTAATTCCAGAATTTGTATGGTAATTGTGAACATTGGTGTCATTATTCAATGAAGAGTGCTTGATGTGCAATGAAGTGTTACATTAGCATGAAATTTAAACGCTGTCCCACTTCCTTATTTTTGAAGAAATTGTTTCCAATCGTTTTGGCTTGACCTTTATTAGATAATGAAAATAACAGTCATTTTGTGAATTATTCTACGATATTTCGCCTTTTCAGTTAAGTAGAGCTCATGATACAGATTTATGAGGAATATAAATTGAGGGGAATTTCTAAAAAGGTTTAACTTCTGGTCTAATGATCGCGCGTCTTAGCCACAAACATTAGTAAATCCTATTCAAAACAAAAGAGGTTGTTACCTTAATTGGGACAGAATAAAGACTCGCAGAAGGACGTACTGGGCAGAGAGGTATGCCCAGTAAAACGGGAAAAGAAGCATATGGTAAGCATCAGTGTTATGGTAGGTATGTATTTATTTGTAGGAGGGTATTTATTTGGTCGATTTATGTCATTTGCTTGTTCCATGTTTGGTGTTTTTCAAACTAAAGTGGTAGCCGGACCACATAGACTTCACAACGGGAGTGGTATACCACGGGACGAGAAGTAAAAGTCACAATTGTGTCGTACGACGATTATCTCAAGCAACCTATACAAACCGACAGATTTGCTTGCTTTTTTTATTGCTTAGATGGGTGGACGAGCTCACAGCCTACCTGGTGACAAGTGGTTACCGGAGCTCATAGACATTAAAACGTAAATGCCGCTACCCACCTTGAGACATGAGTTCTAAGGTCTCTTAACAGTACAACGGCTGGCCCGCCCTTCAAGCCGAAACGCATTACTGCTTTACCGCAGAAATAGGCAGGGTGGTGGTACCTACTCGTGCGGACTTACAAGACGTCCTAACACCAGTAAAAAAGACTACAACCAGTAAGGAATGCAGAAATAGGAAGGATCGCGTGGTACCTACTCGTGAGGGCTCGTTCATCATGCCATCAGTACTTAAGCATGTAATATAGCCGTAGTAAGCCTATAACAGTGGTTTAAATGTAAATATATTAAATCCATTATCGAGTACAAGGTTGAATTCAAGGACCGGGTGCTTATTCACGAATACTCGATGATTTGTAATGGCGTCAGTCGTGGATTGTACGTTGTAATAGTTATTTAATTATCTGCACAAAAAATATTATTTGTCTTCGGACGTAGTAACATTCCACGTTTTGCTTTTTGTAATAATTGGTCTTTTATCTGGTATGCTATCAGTTAATGGAGCCCAGAATCTATAATCTATTATTTTCAATGATAGTTGGCGTTTTTCTTACTATTTGTTAAGTTAGGAAATAAATTAGAAGTGTAGATTATGAGTTTCGAAACACAATATTTTTTTGTAATAGATGTGAAGATATATCACGATGTCAACAAATTTATCGAGCTGTAACGATATGAGTCGATCTATTGATAACGTAAATTACTTGGACTTTAAGGTCAACATATATATAGGTAAATACGAAAAATATTTAGAAAAATAATTTGATCGCATGCAATTGCAAATGCAATGCATAAATTGTTTGTGTGTTCAAAGATATTGATTTAATAATGATTGATCTAATGTTTTCAAAGAGTTTAAGACTGACTTCCCAACAAGAAAACACGGTATGAAACTAGCGTCAAGTGAACAATAGAGCGATTTGCAACAGTATTATGACGATATATAGTTTAGTAATGGGGTAGATAAGACTGAACAATAGTAAGGCCCTTGGACATTTTTTTTTATTTGTCGTGTTAATGCACGGTTCAGTAGACCATAAACTTCTTTGATATCTAATTATGGATGCCACTATAAATTTTCATTGGTTTGATCAACATTTTAATGTGTTAAAATATTAATAAGTTTTAAGAGCAATCGATGAAGACGTTTCAAAAACCATGTAAACAGCATACAAATTTTCAAACTAATTCGAATTTGATACGGAAAATACTAATACTAGAATCCCTATCTTTAGTTCAAAAAGTAAATGACATTGCCAACTCGAACAATTCCTATATATCCTCATTTATTTGGGACTAAATGTGTGCCGCAATGGCCTTCGTATGACGCGAAAGTGCTAGTCAATTTCATCCGGATATTTCATTCGGAATAAATTTGCCATTGTTCGCACATTTCTAGGTTTTATACTTTAGTTAAGGAGAAAATATATGGGATCACATTCGAGGCGAAACTTGAAATGATAACGTTTAGTTAAACAAAATGATTTTATGAATTGTTGATAATATGAAAATCGAAATTAATTTTTATACCTACGATATCAAATATATAATCGTTTTTTTTATTGCACTAGATCGATGGACGTGCACGGCTCATCTACATATATAGCGTTATTAATGGAGCCCATAGGTATGACAATACATGTGGTCATCTATCTTGAGACATGAGGTCGTAGTTTCGGATGTCCTCGGCATTCTTCAAACGTATGGCAGAAATAGGCAGAATGGCGCTATCCACCATTCCTGGCTCCTAATGACTACAGAAATGAATTGAAATAATACAAATAACTGTTTATAAATTATTAGGATGTAGGTCGTACGTATGTAGCAAAT